TTCCTCGAAGTCCTGCGGGTTGAAGGTCGAAGTAGGAAGAGCTGCCAAACGACTCCGCTTTTCAGAAAGATTAGCCGATAGTTCGGTCCTCTCTTGTACCTCGGAGAAATCTGTTTCATGGATTTGATCCAACAGAATCAGGTTGCTCTCGTGCTCCTTGATGTCTGATTCCATATCTGACCTAGCTTTCTCGGTTTGAATGAAGCGGATGGCTCCTTGGATCAACTCCATCCCGCGTCCCTTAACCTCTTTTCTGGCTTTTGATGCCGACCTCGCCAATTCAAAATCACGCAATTTGGTGATCGCCTTGTACTTTGCGTTAAGCTTAGTAAGTTGGTTGTTCAGGGTATCGGCGCTTGATTCGGATTCCTGAAGCCTACCTGAACACCAGAAAGTTCATCCTGGAGTTTGAAGTTCTGGTCGTACTGGTCCTGCAGCTCCCCCTTTATCTTCGCAAGCTCTGATGTTAGACTGTCGACTTTGTCCTCCATATCGTGCTTGGAGCCGGTAGAAGAGCTTAGTTCAGCCTCAAGAGCAGAAAGTTTTTTCTTCCACGCGTCAATCTCCTTTTCCCGACCAATGACCAACCCCTCATAATGTTCAATCATGTCATTAAGCTCACCGTTAGCCTGGCATTATGCATAAAACCAGGATGGTGAGTCATTTCGAAGAACGGCAGCACAATCGGAAAAATAAAGCGGAACTAACCCGAGATGAGTGATGAGCATGAAGCAAATAGAGTTCACGAATCGCAGGGCGCCACTTGTCGAAGTCTGGCAGGATCGAGCCTGATCGGGTCTTGAAGCATCGGAAGACGCTGCCTTCTTTCTCCATAGCTGCGAAGGAGGAAGAGTTGTAAAAATTGGAATCTTAATAGAGACAAAAACTTTTAAGTATGTGTAAATCACCAAACCTGAAAGCGATTTGACTTGAGGGACAAGAGCAGGCTTTAACCTCGAGGAAGCATCTCGAGATTTAGAATCTCCCTTTTTAGGAGATGCACTCCGAGCAGTCTTCTCGCTGTCAGGCTGGGAAGAAGAAGACATATCAACAGGTCGAGGAGGACCCATTGGTTCAGTGGGAGGGGATGATCGAGGTGAACGGTCAGTCCGGGCCCTTGATTTCTCCCTACGCGGAGAAGAGTCACTATGGGATGACTTGTCTCTCTTCCTGCGAACCAAGTTCTTAAGTGGTTCACTGCTAAAATCGTCTCGGGGAGGACGAGGAGAATCACGACGGGGAGATCGCTCTCTCCGAGGAGAACGTTTATCATGACGTTCACGACGAGGTGTTAACATATAAGTAGCAACGGATCTGGCTCCCTCGGTGCTGTTATCATCAACCAGCAGGGTCCTGCTGTAGTCTTTTTTGTCAATGGCGGCCGCAAGGAATGCCTTGTTTTCATCACAAGCCTCTGCTATCGGCTTGGAGAGTTTCTTACGCTGGGCAGTAAGGGCCCGAGCTGACATTTCCTGAGTTGAGGGAGGAGGCAGAAGACGATGAAGTAGATTGGGAGGACTCATCCTGAGCTTTCGGTTGGCCTCGACGAACCGATCGAGGGTGAAAGAGTTCCAAAGGGTTTCCCCTTCAAGGATTGTTTTGAAGAACTTGACGAATTCTTCAGTCGGAAGGGTCGAAGCGATGACAGCTGCGAAGTGAAAACAACGAGTTTGGTCAGTAAAAAATAAAACAACCAAGGAAGGAATATACGACCTAATTTCTACCAGGTTTCGCAGACCACTTCGCTGGGAGTACATCGGAAAGATTTCCAATTGAAGCAGGAGTTTTCCTAATCAGGAACCAAGGATGGTGCCAGTTTTCATCTTTGTTCGGGAGGTGCGAAATGACGTTCCTGTTGGCATTTGGATACGCCGAGAAGTACCCTGTTTTCTTTGATGAACTCCTTACACTTAGGAGTTCATTCAGCTCGGGGACTCCAATGACGTAGCCAGCCTCTGCCGCAACAGTTATAATCCCGAGGATGGTCCGGAGGAGATTGGGGGTTAGTTGAGGTAAAGCAATCTCAAGAGCCGCCAAGAATCGAACTAGGGCTTCGGGAAGGGGGAAGGTCAATCCGCAGCCCTTGAAGTAGATTTCGTAAACACAAAAGTAGCCGTCACGGTGGTTCTCCGGGGATTCCGTAGGATCGGCTATCTGTGCCTCCGCTATGATTCCAGGAGGAATTTGACAAAGCCCCTTTAATCGCTCAAGGGATTGAAGAGTACAGGTGGATTTGTAATGAGGACCGACAATATCGTTAGGACGAGTGCATTCGTCATTGCTAGAACGCCTCTCATCGTAAGAGGAGACTCAGGTCTCTCAGAATCGGAAGTCATCGGAGAAAAATGAAAAATTCAAGATCCGGCGAAGAGAGGTTCGGCGAAGAAAAGTAGAGAGAAGTTTTGATTAAAGCACAAAAGTAAAAGAAGAAAATGATGGTGAGAAGAAGTTACTTTACACAAGCTAAATGATGAAACCGCCTCGGAAGTTGTGTGGGAAGTGGGAAGGTTTTTCCCGTTTTAATAGTAATTAATTACTATACGGTCATAATGATGACAGATGTCACTCGGTTAAAAATGGCTAGTGCCGGAATTAAAGGAGTGATGAGATTTTCGGCGGGAAATCAGAAAGATTCTCGAGCGCAATCTTTGGTCATTTAAGCATTTAAAGTCCTTCGAATTGGAATGGCACTTCGAAGAACTTGGGGGGCTAATTGTTGGTGTCGGATCCCGCACCAGAGGTCTAGGACCAACCAAAGATTGCCACGTAGTCAGGATAACAGCCCATAAAGGATAAAGCCCATTAGACCCACAAGTCAAAAGAACAGTCGAAGTGGTTATCACCATAAGGAGAATTCGAAGTGATTGCACTTCGATATGAGTCCGACATCAAAGTCACGGTTAATTCGGTTCAAGGACATTTGAGCCAAAAAGCGAGGCCCATGGAGATCGGAGTCAACTCAAATTCGAACGTTGAGCATTAAAATCAAAGATCAAAACGGACGCATTTAAGAGAGAATAATTGTATTTAATTAGCCATTTAAATGTCGTTTTTCTATGTATAAATAGAGAGGCCAATGGCCATGTAAGGGGGATCTTTTTCTGGAGTAAGAAATACTATAACAATTAATTTAGCAATTTCATAACCCTTTTACATTCTTATTTTTTGTCCCTCAAGAATAATCTTTCCTATTTAATAAAAAATACTTGAGTGTGTGAATCTGACATCCACAATCGGCGTATCAAACCTTTATTCCATCGAGTTCATTGGTTGGTAGAGAGAGCTTTCAGCCTTCTACGAACTGTTCTTGGCCAATCTAGAAGCTTCCCCCATCGAGGCTTACATCAATTATGTTTAAAGAGTATACAGTGTTTATGTTTGGGTTTTTTTTTTGTCAACCATGCACACATTAATTAATAAGTAACTCCTAGATTGGTTGCCCAATTAGGAGGAGAAGAGTCTACAAAAGAAACTTCAGAAAATAAGAGTCTAGAAGAACTGGCTAAACAGTCCACTTTAACATTACATAAATGAGAAATAAGAGAAAGCGAGAAGAATGAGAAATAGACACGGAGTAAACAAAACTCATCAAGGTGATTGGAGAAAGCGGGCCATTCATCAGGTGACTGTATCATCGAGACTGACTCCGAATAATCTGTTTCAAACGCCTGACAATCGATCTTTCTTGAAAGAATATTCCTCATAGCCCAAATTAAAGCTTCCATCTCCGAATGTAGAGGGGAGGGACATCTCTGAAGGCACTTTGCATTGAGCAGTATCGTTTGTTCAGTTCCTTGAAAACACCACCATCCTATACCCATAGTTGGATCCGAATTTTTCCAAGAGCCATCAATCCGACATCTTATTTACTGAACTGAGCTATCCAATGTTTCCGTAATAAAGCTAGTTTCGATCGGTTCCAACTGAGTTTCTTCCCACAATAATTTTTCACTCAAAGCGTGATTTAATATATCTGTGGGATCAGATTGTAATCCCTTGAATACCTTTTTATTCCTATCTTTCCATATGAACCACAAGATCTAAGCACAACAGTACGTTTTCTTCCTCCCATCTAGCGAAGATGGTAGCCTCCAATAAATATAATCTAGGTTTAAAAATTTCGAGCTTAGAGGTTTATGTTTGGGTTTATAATATGTTTTTAACACAACTCGGAAATCAAGCAAACTATTGAGTTTAATTCTATCTGTTTTAATTTTGTTTCCAAAACAATTTTGTTGGTTGCAAAACTAAGAATTCAAGTTGGGGTTTTTTATAAAAAATTAGAATGATTAATATTTTATAAATAGAAAGATTAAAAATAGACTCAAAGTATCATTTAATCCAGATATATTTAATAGGCGCGTTAGATATTTCAATTTTGAAACAATGCTACATAAATACTATGTAATACCATAACATTTTAGCCCATAAATAAACTTACAAATTAGATTTCAAATATTCTAATGATTATATTATATTCTAATGATTTATATTATACAAATAAAATTGCATTTAAGTTATTCATAAATTTAGAGATACACATTGTCAGTTTTATAGTAGATGAAAGAATATTATGTATATATTGAAATGCATATAAAATGAAATTATATTAAAAATCTAAAAATAATTTTGGGCTTGATACACAAAAAAACATCAATGACCCTTTTTTAATATATGAAGGACATCAATGACCCTCGTTACTTACATTAAAATGGTTCGTTACTTGCATCAAATTGGTGAAAACTCATCCTCTTTAGAATGTAAGGTTTTACTCTTACACAACCAAGTCCGTCGTTGTACAGAAGAAAACACATTGACTGAACAATACAGAGAAAAAGGTTTATGGGCCCATCTAGGATCATTAGTTGGGCCTATATTATACACCTACGTACCTGAATTTTAACTAATTCAAATTAGATTAAACAAAACAAAAACAAATTCCGAAATTAAAAAAGAACATTAAATATATATATTTTGATTATTGTTCTAAGGAGAGGAAAAAAAGGCTCATTGTTTCTTCATACGTTTCGTTCCCAAAAAATTGACACAGAAGAGAAACCAATTTAACAAAATTTTCTCGCCTCCTTTCTTCTTCTTCTTCGACAACCACTCGCAAAAACCCTAATTTCATCTGATTTCAATATTTCTTCGACAAGTTTCCTTCTTCTTAATCCATCCTTCTCCTTGTATCGCTTTCACAAAGCTTGTCGTTTTCTCTCCTTGTGGGTTAAAAAGAAATTAAAAGGCCATTTCTTTCGATTGAGCGATTGAATCTACGAGACGCAACAATCTCTTTCTGGGTTAGGGTTTTTGGTGTGTCCTCTATCTCTATTACATACCCTTTTGTGGTTTTTGTGCCTTCGTCGTTTCTGGTTTTTGGGGAATTTTTTCTGATTGTTGCTTTAAGCGGAGTTTGTTGGTTTCTGGAACCCTAGATAGAGAGCCTTTGGCTGATTAATATTGGCACTGGTGATTTAGAGATAGAGATTAAGAGATTATATGTGTAGGTGTTAGGGTTTCATCACTTGAATTGTGGCTGTGGCATTGAATAGATGTGTTTGGGGTTTGTCCCTTTGGTGTGTGTGTTCTTAAGGATGAGTGTTCTCTAGCGTGAAGCTAAATTGCTCTTCTAAGCCATCTGTCTGAGGGATGGAAGTGTAGAAGGTTTTGTCATCCTGGTGCGTTCACGAGATTGCATTAGTGTTTAAAGCAGCCTAGAGATTGGATTCGGGTTCTGATTCGTCGCCTGGCGTTCACCGTGGTAGATTTTTTAGATGCTAGAGAAAGCTAGGATAGGTTAGAACTTTTTTCAGAGGAACTTTGTCTATTGTTGTTGGGGGGTGAAGAAGGTCAGAGAAAGTGTGTGTTCTTTCTTTTATCTGATGAGGTACAGCTTTCCTAATGGACAAAGGTGAACACTCTTTAGCTCCGGAATGGTTGAGAAGTTCAGGGCATGCTTCTGGTGGTGGGAGTTCAAACCACCTCCTTGTATCATCCTCTTCTCATTCAGGTATGTTTCATCATGGAGCATATTTCATTCATATTTGTTGAGGCTTCGCGTGTTGATCTTTGCCTCTTTAGTCAGAATACCGTGATTTTTACTGTTTCCTATCTTGTTTTGTTTGTCTAGATTCTGCATCTTTACAACATAATAGCAGGAATAGGAACTCTAGGAGCAAAAGTGACGTTGATTCAATTCATTCTCCTTTTCTGGATCGATCTTCTTCTACTAATTCAAGGAGGGGCTCTAGTAATGGTTCTGCAAAGCATGCATATAGTAGTTTCAACTTTAATAGGAGTCAAAGGGATAAGGACCGCAGCAGGGACAAGGATAGGGTAAGCTATGTGGATCCATGGGACCTTGACACTTCTATCCCTCTTAGAACTATCTTGACTGGTAGGGATCCGGATCCATTGAGACGATCACATTCAATGGTTACAAGGAAACAGGGAGACCACCTGTCTCGAGGATTAACAGTGGGCTTGAAAAATGGTAGCACTGGTAATAGTTACAATGGAAATGGAGTACTTTCTGGACCTAGCATTGGGAATAGCTTTCAGAGAACTGGGTTTGATAAGGATTTTCCTTCACTTGGAGCTGAAGAGAAGCAAAATGGGCAAGATGTTGTACGAGTCTCATCTCCTGGTATAAGTTCAGCTGTTCAGAACTTGCCAGTTGGTAACTCAGCTTTGATTGGTGGGGAAGGTTGGACATCGGCTCTGGCAGAGGTTCCCAATGTAATCGAGAAGGCTTGTGCTGGGTCATTAACGTCCCCAAAGGCTAATGCTGTTAGCACGGGAACTTTAACTGGAACAACTGGTCTTAACATGGCAGAAGCATTGGTTCAGGCTCCAGCAAGAACTCACACCCCTCCCCAAGTATGATTCGCATCATCTTGGTATAACTTTGTTGTACACTTATCTCTCTGCTTTTCTAAGATTATGACCATCTTTTTCAGGGATCTGTGAAGACACAACGACTCGAGGACTTGGCAATCAAGCAGTCAAGGCAATTGATACCGGTTGTGCCTTCAGCACCAAAGTGCTCGGTAAGTATTTACCTTAGTCAGTTTTATCATTCCTCATTCATCTTGTGCTACAATCAATATCTGTTTTATTTGATTTGTTAGAGTCTGAATTCTTCTGATAAATCCAAGACTAAGCAAGTGGTTCGAACTGGTGAAACTTGTCTTGCTCCCTCAAGAAATGCCCAACAACAGCCCTCTGTCCTACTTGGGAATTTCCAGTCTAATCCTAGTGGTCAAATCAAACCTGAGAAGAAGCTGTTGGTTCTCAAACCGGCTAGGGAAAATGGTGTCAGTGCTGTTAAAGAATCTGGAAGCCCTAGTGCTAATACAAACACTCGAGCCGGCTCAAACCAGCAGATGTCCAATGCTCAATCAACGCAATCTGCTCCTGTGAGAAGTATAAACAGCCCAAAGGAGCTCAAGGGAGCTAGTGCCTTCTCCATAATATCTGGCCAAACTATCGAAAAGAAATCTTCCACTGCTCAAACTCAGAGCAGGAGTGCATTTTACAGTGCTCTGAAGCAGAAAAAAACTGCATCAACAAGCATCTCCACCGATCCCGTTGACTCTTCAACCAGTGTCTCTTCTTCTGTTGAGGGAAAAGTCAACAGCTCAAAGGATCTTAAAGCTAGTGACCCTTCAAGTCCACAGGCAACAAGTGGCCTCGAAGTGACTGAAAGGGTCCAGGTAGCTTCTCATACTAGTGGCTTTGAAGCAACTGACACTCCAGATGAGGAAGAGGCAGAGTTCCTTAGATCGCTCGGCTGGGATGAAAACAATGGTGAAGATGAAGCTCTCACAGAGGAGGAGATAAAAACCTTTTATGAACAGGTAAAAAGACATAACAGTCCCAGTCCCTCTTTCTCTCTTTCTCATATTATAACTCAAGAAAGATTAACAATGGTTATGTTCTTTGTTTTGTTTAAACAGTACAAGGAGCTGAGGCCGTCATTGCCGCAGAATCTTTCCATGATACATGAAGCAAGAGAGGATGTAGTTTAAGACTCCTGAACCCAACTTTACAAAACTGAAGAAAGTACTGGTTTTTGGAAAGATAGTTTCTAATTTCTTTTTATATTTTTCTTCTTTTGGTCTTTTTGTTCCTGAGAAAAGCTTAGCTACTATGGCAATGGGAGAGGAGAAAGGCAGGAGGGTTTTTGTTTGTTTGTTTTGATGATTTGCAAATAGTGCAAATAAAGCTGATGAGGCTTTGAGTTGCCATATGAGTGTCCTGCCCTCTTCAGACTTTGTAGATCTTTCTTTGGTCTGAAAAAAATGGCTCAGCTCTCATACACATGTTCCTCTTTTTGTCTTTTTGCCCTCGATAAGCAAGAGAGTTGTCTCTTACAGTTACTGCTGCCAGGAGAATATATAATTTGCGAAAGAGTTTTTCATCAACACAAATCATTGGATAAAGCCAACAAAGACTCAAGACACAAACCTGTGTAAACCAGCACCCATCACGATTTGATGTTCTGCATCAAGACTCTCCATTGAAAGAAGATTCGACCTCGAATCTTGAAGAATACTCGTAGCAGATTGGTGATAGAAGTAGTTAAAAGGCTGAATAATATTATTATGAGGGTAAACCATGGTTGGTTTAGCTTTCTTGGTTTTGTCTATATATGATGTCTGAGAGATTTGGGAGAGTTTTATCGAGTATTTTGGTGAGTAATCTCTAGGGAGAGTGGGAGGAGCTCCATTAACAAATTCCTTGGTTCCTTTTGTAATTCACCAAAGATCTACGAAATACCCTTTTATATAAACTACTCGTATCAAACACAAAAAAAAAAGAGAGAGGATCTATGTAAATTTGACCAAGCCTAACCTTTTCAACCAAATTCAAGCTTCTTAGAGCGAATATTATATAACACCACTTTGAGGGCCAGATATAGTTTTTGTGGTACCTGAAACTATCTCTTAACTATTCATATTGTATTGGGATCTTTATCGAAAATACTTGCACATTGTGACTATACGCAAGAACTTATGTATATTTTGTTTGGTAAAAGAATTCCGCTGTCGACATATTGTCTAACATCTTAAACATATCTCTCACAGCTTTATACTTTTGCTATTCTTTGGTCTGCAACGCTGATGATAATAGTGCCCTTTTTGGTTTTCTTCCAAGACAGTTCCAACATCTAAGTGAGGTCTCTTTCTTCTCTCGTCTTCTTAATGGGGCTTATGGTTTTCTTTTCTAACTTCCTTTATCTTATTGAGCATATACCCTCTTCTTGCTGATCACATGATTTTGAGTTTTCGTTTCTAGATAACCAACAAATGAATCTGGCTTGGAAACGCTGCAACACTCGATAATCTAATTACGCGTTTTAATTAGAAGGCGCAGCACATGGCAATTTAACGAGTTTGCCTGGTTGTGTTTTCTTTGGACGATTGAATGATTTGTAGTCCAATACATTCTTGTACTAAAGGTGTATTTTCAATAACATTACCACAAAGTTTAACACAAACACACACTGATGCAACAGAGAAATCTCGCACACAACGCCGAGCTGATGAGACAAGACACATGAATTTACAGAGTAGAGAAAAGAGAGGAACTTGCAAGTTGTCACATCACGTATCTGGGTCGGAGATGAAGTATGAGTCTGTGCGTTTACTTACTCTGAGTGCGATGTCCAATACATAAGCCCACTGTCAAAACAATTATGATCAGTGCCCAGAGATATACACACAAGATTTGCATTAAAAGAAAAAGGTTAAGGGGCTTTACTGTGTCATTGCAAATACAAATCACATTTGCCAGGTTTTGACTGTGCCATACAAAAGCTAGCTATACCCATATAGTCTTATGCTACTACTAGCTGAGAAAAAAACTAATCTTAATGCTAATGAACAAATGTTTAGTTTGAATTTATTGTTAACAGTACAAAATTTACTTTGATTACTAAAGATGATACCAAAGGCTAGTTTTAGTTCAGATGCATAAAAAAGGCAGCCCATTACTTAAGTATTGAACTATCAGAATTCAGAGGACTAATAGCGTAAGAATCACTAAATATCATGATCTGATTATACAAGTTTAGGTAGATTTTCTAAAGTTGTTCGAGTTCAATCTTCTCAGTCACATTTTCCCAATCAAAAAGGAGTGTTTTAGGGTGCTTCAAAGAAATGCACAACCAGAAGAGTAGCCAGAAGTATTAGATAAACATAGAAAGTGTAAAAACGCCTTTACCTTATCAATACAAACACGCATTGAAAAACTCCAGCCACACCAGTCCAAGTCGAAGGCCCAGTCTTCACAACCGAATCTTGAATCAGCAAGCCAACAGAAGCAGCTAAGGAAACAAATGCTACGACATACGCTATGAAAAGCCATAGCTTCAATCTGCAGTCAACAATCAAAATAAATAAAAACACAAATCAAGAACAGCTGAAACCAGCCGCAAACCTCCGCGAAAACTTTATTTCAGAAAATAGGGTTGCAACACACAAGATATATCAACAAGCTTCTAACCAATCTCTTAAGTCTTATCTTGATCAAAAACTGAATCAGAAGCAGCTACGGAAACAAACGCTACGACGACATTAGCTGTGAAAAAGCCATAGCTTGATTCTGTAGCCAAGAATCCAAATCCATAAAACACAAATCATGAATACTTCAACACTTATAGAAGCAAGGATCACTCAATACTTCAAACTAAATGGATCAGTCACAAATCTCAGCTATAATTTGAACACTTATCTCAACTATCTTCTAGTTTCCACAGAATTACATATAAAACAAAAAACAAAAAGTAACCAAGCTTTTAGGTTAAAGAACTGAATTTTGATTCTGAATTCAAATTGATCAATCGATTCGAAAACTTACCTCCATTCGCCTTCGTCATAAGGAGAGTAATCAATATCCTCTTTTCTGACGCAATTGAACATCAAAGCTCCGAGAGATGCGAATATGCCTGCGAAAACCCCCAAAATCAAATTTCTGAAACCCTAAATTGACTTTTCGATGGATGTATATTACCGGGAAGGTAATGGACGAAAGGAACTTGGATGGAACTGCACACGACGGCGTCGACCCAAAACCACCACCCGGTTCCGAAAACGGCGCCGGAGAATCCGGGTCCGAAAATCGCCCACAATTCTGCCAAATCCATCGCTCGATGATATGATCGTCGTCTCCAATTGGATCTTTAAGATTCTTGTGTCAAATTATTAATAATTATTTATATACAAAAACTATTATTGATGTGGGCTTCAGTTTTGGATTATTTACGAGGATCAATACTAATTTCATTTGGGAAAAATATCGTTTAATAGCCGAACTTTCAAAAAATGGTCGTTTAATACGTGAACTTTTTATATGGCCAAATTAAACATGAACTTAAAGTTGATCAGACATTTTGCACAAACCTATTCGTTGACCAGGCCATAAACCACACGCTGTTATCTGTCGTTAACAGATCCGATAACAGCCATTTGCACTCGTTAACCATTCTCAAATCCCTAATTCTCAAAAATTTCCTTTGAGAGCTCGAAATCTTAAACATCATTGAATTATCCATCTTCGTCGTCAGATATGAGTTGCAATTCAGGGGTTTCAGACATTTTGCACAAACCTATTCGTTGACCAGGCCATAAACCACACGCTGTTATCTGTCTTCTCTTTTAATCTCTAATCTACCTTCTCTAATTATGATTTCACAAAGATCAAACCTATTGCTTTGTGTAATCATGATCATGAGTAAGTAGTCATTTAGAGTTCTTAGGTTAAGGTAGATTAGGATGGTTTAGTTATTGGGTTATGGAGTTTAGGGCTAGATTACTTAAGATCCTTACTTATTGGTTGTTTATAAAGCTAGATTAGCCTTGATCATGTTGATTTAGATTTTAAGAATTTCATGCCCGAAAGGAGTTCGATGAAATTCCTGAACCAAAACCTTTAAGTGCTTTACATTCCTTACCTTTGGAAATTGTTGACTAGGGTGTTAAGTGGCTAGATAGACCTATTTATAATGCTTGTTAGTCAATTGATTGCCTTTGGAAGAAGTTGTTGATTAATTGATTAGTAAATGGACTAATGTCATGGAAATGTGTTAGTGTTGGTTAGTGTTCTATGGCCTAGGGATCATTGCTTATTAGAAGTTGTTTGAAGCTCCATAATCCACTTCTTTATCATTCCTAATCAATTCCCTTTAACCCGAGAATTCGCTTTTAGTTATCGCTTAGTAGCTTGTCATTTTTCCGCTTTGTTTACTTTCGAAACTTGTTAGTCTTTTGCATTTTACTTTTATTTGTCTTGTTTTGTATTGTTATTTACTTTGTTAGTCAAGTTTACAAAACCAAAATCATCTATTTTGCTTAGATTAAGTGAATGTATGCATTCCTAGTGTGTTGGTTCATTGCTCCTTGAGGTTCGATAAGTTATTGGGTAAAAGTAGTACATCAGGTTGAGTAACCGTGTATAAGGATTTTAGCCGACTAATTCTATAACATAGGGTTAGCCGAATCTTAGTGTTTCGTATGTCCGAGACTTAGAAGTAAACAAACCTAATTCTAGTATTTCTTAGATAGCGATCATTGAACCCCCTGCGATACCCTTGATACCCAATGTTTGTCTCTTATTGATTACTTGCTTTCTTTACTCGTTTATTTACTTTGCTTTCTTTACTCGCTTTCTTATTTACTTTACTTGCAACCGTGACATAACCAACAACTCCTCTTTTATTGTTTTGTCCTAGCTTTACTTTGTTCAAAAGGATTTGTCCGAACTACTTCTCTCTCTCTGTGGGATTTGATCTTTAAATGCTACAACTGATTCAGTGTGCACTTGCAATAGTCGTGTGGTCTTTTGAGGTAAAATATTGAAGCGATGCAATCACACGCATCAATTGGTATACGGAAGAAGAGGGAAATAAAATGACACCGAAAGCGTGGTACAGAGAAAAGGAAAATCAGAGTTGATGGACGAGCAAGACTTGACATTATAAATAGTGGTGAAACATTTGTGGCTGAATTTTTTTGGGGGAAAAAAAGAGATCAAGCCGCCGAGAGTCCTCATTGTCGGGAAGAAGAAAGCCGCCACTATCTACACAACCACCGATAGAGAAGAAGGTAAGATGGATACTAGAACCTACTCCACTGATTTTTGAATTCTTGCTAAAGAATTTTTGGATGTTCATACATTGGTTTCTAGATAGTAAGTTAGATGGATAAATCCGCAATCTGCGTGATATGGGTTGGGGTGATTGTCATGGATGTAAATATTTTGATTAGGGTGTTAGTTAACTCATTAATGTCTTGGTGTTAGATTAGTGGTGTTGAGTAGTAGACCTGGTCGAT